CGGGCTGCGGCGGGGGCCAGCCGCCCTCGGCGCTCGGCAGGGGGAAGTAAGGGACCATGGTCTCGACCCGGGGTCCCGGCCTCCAGCCCCGGACCTGTGGAGGAGGGTGGGGGCTCTGGTTCCTACTCTGGGGATGTTCCGCACCTACTCTCTGCTCGTCCCGGGCTGGGCCCAAACCCCAGGCGGCCGGCAGCTGTAGGGACCCAAGGACGTTTCAAACTCTCAGCCCTGGCGTGCTTTTCCTAGCAGGCCCCACTCACTGTCTGCGTCAGCCAAGCGGGATAGGTCCCCAGCATTTAGGGGAGCCGAGGGGGTCGAGGTCGGGCTTCACCACGTCCAGCTTCGCTCCTGGCCTCAGGCACACCTCCGTTACCAGGTAGCGGGAATGCTTTGAGCTGGCCGGGAGCCAGCCCTCTGTCCGCACCACTGAGCACAGGGTCATAGTGGCCCCAGGCAAGAGGCAGTGGCCTGAGCTGGGCAGCCCCCAATTCTGGCGATGTCACCACAGTTTCTAGCCATTCTTCAAAACCCAGCTGCCCTCTGGAGAGAGCGCCACACTTGCCTGGTGATGTCACCTTGGTCCCGACTGAGCTGCTCTCCCAAATCCAATCCTGGGAGCCATGGCCTCGTGAGAACAGCGCCTAGCTCAGGCTCTTGCTAGACAGGCAGGGGCCGGAAGGCCAGGGGCAGACCTAGGGCCTTGCACATGCTGTCCCCAGACCTAGAGCTTCATTTGGAATCCACCTAACACTCCCTGCCTCACAGCTCCCCTTTTGTCCCCTTTAACAGTTGTAGCCCAGCACTCGAATAGGGGAAGGCCTTCTCCATTGGTAATAGGCAGAATAATGCCCCCATGTCTATAACCTCACTATGGGAAACTGAGTAAGTCATGTTATATGGCAAAGGGGAATAAGGCTGGTGTTGAGGAGAGGGGAGGAGGGGGAAGCCTTAGGTGCAAAGGCCTTAGGCTCAAGTTTCCAGAATCACCGAAAGCAAAACAAAAGAACTGTCCTAGTAAGCCTGGTGTGAACACAGGGCCTTTAACTGTGAGCAAGGTGGCCAAAGTGTCCAAGGGTTGCCTGAAAGCCAGGCTTGGCCAGCCAGTGCAGACTCGAGGTGGAAGGGGTCTCGAGGGAGGATGTGATCAGCCCCCAGAAGCTGCAGTGGGCAGGACAATAGGGTCACCCTACAGCCTCCAAGTAGGGGTGCAGTGCTGCTGGCATCCTGATTTTAGCCACTGAGATCCATTTCAGTCTTCACCCCTCCAGAGACAGACCAAATTCAAGAACAGCTTAGGAAGGTGAGGAACCTTCCTAGGACCACACCTGAGTTTCTGTGTATTCATTCACTCTGATTCCAGGATCTGATTCCCTGGATTTTCCGGGTTCATTCTCAGTAAAGTGGTTCTTAGGGGTAGGATATTCTGTGCTTAGCTCTTGTGTGCTTTAAGGTGAAGCTACTCAGTAAGTTTCTGGCAGCCAGTAGCTGGGAAAGGGATGCTCAGCTTTGTCTTAAAGCTACTGATTGCCCTTCAGGTGCCATGAAAAAGAGCTGCTGAGTGTTTTCGGTTGGAGAACTTTGTGATCAGAAGCTCACAGGTGGGCACAGTGGAGGACACAGGGTTAGACAGACAGGAAGCCAGCCAGAGGAGGTACTGACAAGCAAAGGCGGAAAAGACGGGGGAGAGGGGTTCATCTGGCCACCCCATGATGGCCTGGCTGGAGTGCAGGAGAGAGGGTGGATGAACACGTTTCTGGCTTGGCTGCTTGTTGGGTAACTGAGGCAATGCTAATGACACCACAAAGCTCCTACCTCCAAATTCCAGGAATGTGGGGACTCTTTACAACTCATGAACTTTTAGGGGACGTGGTCAGACTATAGCAGAGAGCATGACTGAAGAGGGAAACTGATGCACCCTCCCTGTACCTTAGCAAGGGCCCCCAGTGAGGGAACGAGGAGGACCTGTTGGAGAGTGGGGAGAACATGATGGAAGCCAGATCATCAGAGAAGTAGGAAAGGAGGAGAAAATCTCAGGGATGGAGAGCATTTGTACTGGGGACTTCAGCAGCACCCCAAGTCACTTCCCAGTTAGCTCTGTGCTTGACAATCACAAGAGAAATCAGATAATTTGAAAGGAAAGGGAATCCCGGCCAAGAGATGGAAGAGCAGGGGAAATTCCTTTAGCCATTTTACAGAGGACACAGCAGGCCAAACTCCATTTTGGCGATGTGTGCTGTTTGGTGGCTCTGGAACCTATCTAAGCTTACAGACCAGCTGGGGGATGGACTGAGTCACACAAACTTGATTTTGGGCAAGGGTAAGAAGAGGGAAGATTCCTGTTTCTTGTGTGAAAGTCACTGAGTCTCTGTTTTCTCATCTGTGAAGTGGGGATCATAGCCCCTACTTCCCAAATGTAGTGTGAGGACTTAAGAAGAGGTGTGTAGAAATTTTAATGCCATACGGGGCACATCATGAAAGCTCAGTACTCCTTATATTTTACTATTACTAGTACTAGTCTTATTTTGAGAGGGGTCTCACTATGCAGTTCAGGCTGGCTTGGAGTTCTCCATCCTCCAGTCTCAGGCTTGACTGCTGGAATGGCAGCATGCGTCACCGTGGCCAGCTGTATTTTCACCATCCTTAATGAGGAGCTCGGGCTGCACAATTGTGGCTGCAAGCAGACAGCCAGGTGCCCTTGTTTCCCCTCCCCAGCCTTGGCTCCTTTGGTCTGATCCCCAGTCCAGCCCCAGTGCATCCAGTGTCGTGCCACTGTCACCTCCTTATCTGCCTCAGCTGTGCATCCAGGCAGACCTCAAGAAAGAGGCCCAGGGGGCCAGGATTTAGCTCAGTGGTTCCGCTGCCTTGCAGGCGCAAGGACCGGAGTGTGATTCCCGGTACGGAAAGAGGCCCAGGTCTCTTGTCTTGGACTTAGACAAGGACAAGGGAGGAGGAAGGAGAGTGTCCGGAAAAGAACCTTGTTGATGTAACCTGAAACGACTTTAGCCTTCATGGAGGTGAAAGAGAAGAGGTGAGCCGGCCAGGAATCCAGGACACCTGCCTCTAATTTACTAGCCTCCTCTTTTTTGGAGGGGGTGAGGGTAGGGCAAGCGCCCAAGACAAATATGGCGGTGACGGTCTCAGGCGCGGTCACCTGCCTGAGCCAATCGCTGGGCTGGGAGGAGGGAAAGCCTGGGGAAACTCGGTGAGGAGCGTGCGCAGGCGCACTGTCTGGCACTTGGCTCCGCAGCCGGGGAATTAGGCTTCGACCACCGGGATTGTGGTGAGAGGTTGGACCCCCGGGCTGGGCGAGCAGGCGGGCCGGGCCGGATTGGGGGGGGGGCCGATCTGACACAGATGCCAAACCCACGGGGGCACAATGCCTTCCGCCCCGGGAGCCGTGTGAGCCGTGTGCAGGGGTCCTAGAGGTGATGAGGTTTGTGGATCAGATCTGGGGTCAGGGCTGCGGGAGCAGGGGTGGGATCCCCTTGAAGGGCTCCCTGGGAGAGAGCAGAGGGGACGCTTCGCGTCAGAGCCCCCTGGAGATCGTGGGTCCCCGGAAGCAGGGGTCCGGCTTGGAGCCCATTCTTTGACCTAACGCTCTTAACGTGGTAGCTCAGTAGGAGCACTCGGGAAGCCAAAACCGGGAGACAGAATGCCCGCTTTGATTTAGAGGTCTGGAGTGCGGCCTGGGGCTGCCCTAGGTGAGAGTGCAGCGCCTCAAGTGGTTCTCACCTGCAGATGGGTGGGGATGCAGGACTGGAGTAAAGAGCTCGGGGCTGGTCCAGAGCTCCTTCCCTGCTGGGAGGAGCCAGTGGTCCTGGCGAAGCTGCTGCCCGGCCAGTGCCACTGTAGTGTCCAGTGAGGTGAAGACTCATTTCTGGCTGGGATAGAGGGTTGGCGCCCCCAGCGACACCCCTCGGGCTGGGCTCTGCTGTGGGGAGACTGGGCAGGGAGAGCAGGCTCTGGAGGAGAAAGGGGACACACAGCAAACTATCCAGAATCAGCCACTTGGTGATAAAATGGCACACCTAGTTGCTCTGCATGTTATACCTGAAACTTTTGTCTGTTTATTTGATGCCCTCAGGACAGGCAGGGACTGGAGTTGTTTTTCTTTATCTGAGACAGGGTCTTGCTATGTAGTCCAGACTGGCCTCAAACTCACAGCAACCCTCCTGCCTCAGCCTCCCAAGTGCTGGGATTACAGGCAGATCTGACCGGAGTTGTTTTTCCTGCTTCACAGATGTGGAAATAAACAAAGCTAGTCAGTGTTAATGTTCAGACCTGACCTGGGACTCCTCACTCCAAATTATGCTTATTAGTAGCATTTCCCTTCTGCACCAACACGGAAGCCTCCCTCTGACACCCCTTGTCCCAGGGCCACATCTGAGGTTCTTGGTTTCCTCCCTGGCACACACACCCCACAGGTTGATTCATCCAGCAGGGAGAGGCTGCTGTGCTGCTCAGTCTGGGTTCTTTATCTCTCAGGAGCCTAAAGGAATGAAGTAGGAGTTTTTGCAGGTTGCCAGAGGGCTGGTTCCAAGCAGCTGAGGCTGAGATGGTCACGTCTCACTGCCAGCCAGTGTCCCTTGCCTCACCGTCCTCGGGACAGAATCTCCACTCTTCCCACCACCACCCTTTCTACAAGCGCTTGACTGCACTGTTTCGGGGCTGGTACTTTGCTGTTAGCAGTGCTCCTGTTTGCACGCCTGTGGCCTCTCTTTGCATACCTTCTTCTCCGGAGCTGTTTGGAAGGAGCCCTTTGACCTGACCCTACCCTTAAGGAACTTTGGGGCTGGAGAAGGTTAAGGGAGGCCTTTGGATGCCTGATGAAGGGGCTCAGGGGCCTGGGGGAGGTGAGAATACCTGACTGGGTGCCTCCAGGATGTCCGGCATCCAGACTGCTCCTCTGGGCCTTGGATGAGCAGGATTTGCTAAGATTGTGCAGGAGGGGTGGTGTATGGTGAAGTGAGAAATTCTGAGCATTTTTAGTCAAAATCTTTCTTTCCCTCCCCCTCTCTCTCTCTCTCTCTCTCTCTCTCTCCCCCCTCCT